GTAAACATTTAACATTTGACATATTAGTTATAAAGAATTAAAAGCATGTCGAATGACTCGTTATAGGAGCGGAATCATTCTGGTTGACATAGTCATACCATACTAAGTTTTGCTCCGTGTGTAATTTACACTAATCGATGAATCGAGCACCCCTCATTTGTTGGTATCGTCATCGATTTGCTTGTTGGTTGTCTTCGATTGGTTCTGCGCAACTTCCCACACAGAAGTTTCACACATCAGTTTTGTTGAATTCCAAGAAATTCCTTAGTACACAGTAAGGAACATTTGGAATAGGAGACTGTTGCATGTACCAAGTCAGTGCGGATACATGTGTAAATTCCATGATAAAATATCAATCAAATTCATTCACTTAGTAAAATAAAACTTCATTTTCCTACTGGTTTATTTCTAGTATAGTTTTGCAAATTCGATATACTATTTTCTAGCAATAACACATATACTATGAGTGGGGATGATTCGATAAAAAGATACGACTATCTAGTAATTGGCGGTGGTTCTGGAGGTATTGCGAGTGCTCGTCGGGCTGCCGAATTTAAAGTATCTGTAGGATTAATTGAAGAAACGCGACTTGGTGGTACATGTGTTAGTTTTCTCTAATTTTATGTAGAAGATAGTTTCATATCCAGTTATTTTAAAGATAGGATTAAAATTAATTGTGTTGTGGATTTTTTTGTGATCATTTTTACAGGTAAATAAGGGATGTGTGCCAAAGAAAGTTATGTATAACTGCTCTCGCCATGCAGAGACAATTGCTGATCATTCCGATTACGGTTTTGACGTGACACTGAACGGTTTCAACTGGAAGTAGGTTAATTTCCTGCTTATTTAAATGTTTTTGCTGTTCGAAAGGAGACATCGAGAAATTAGAACAAATAGTATTCATCATCTTAACAAACATTGATATTTATAATCGATCAAAGTTGAAATATCTCCAAAGGATGCTTAAAATACAAGCGAAACTTTGATAATTCATTGTTTTAAAGATCTAGTAATAATGATTAGTGAGTAATGCATTGGAGGGGAGAAAACGATTGTTGGATAATTTTATTTTGACCCAGTACTTACGATCGAGCGATTAAAGCTTGCACATTAAGATTGACTTATAAAGTAACAAGAAGTCATTTTTTTTAAATTCTTTGCGATGATTCCTTCAACTTAGCATCTCTAGTATGTGTAGATTACACTTCATGATTGTTTGTTTTTTAGTAATAAATGCTTTTCAAAAGAAAATCACATGTTGTAATTTTGTTTAGAAAAATAAAGAATAGTCGTGATGCGTACGTCAGGCGTTTAAATGGAATATATGAATCAAATTTATCAAATGTTAGTCAATCTTTTTTTTCATACTTTTTCTCGAAATTTGTGTTTTGGCAAGCAAAGTTTTCAGTTACATTTTTTTTTTTTTTTTTTCATATAAATTAATAAAAAAATAATTCAATGATAAAATAAGGTTGCATTATTGCCATTTTACCATTTGTATTCGTGATTCGTTCATCACTGAAGAACTCAATTTATACTTTGAAATGTTTTGTTTTCATTCATTCATTTTTTTTTAATACAAAATTTTACATGTGAGATCTATTTGATATGCTTTAGTAATGATGCGAACATAAACATAAAATAAAAGATGAAATTAAATATAATTTATAGTTTATAACAGAAATGTGGGTGTCAATTATTATCTATTTTCAGTAGAGTATTTCACTTTGTTTACAAAAATTATTACAAACATTATTATGCTTCACTCAATGTATTGCAATGGTTTCACTTATTACTCAGTTTTTTCTTATTTTTTAAATTGTGCATCTATTTTAGTCACAAGTTGAATTGATTCGAGGAAAAGCATCGTTTACGAAAGATGGTGTCGTTGACGTAGGTGGCAAAAAATATTTCGGAAGGCACATATTGATAGCCGTCGGTGGGTAAGTGCGAATTAAATATTTTATTTTGAGTGGATTACGATAACTCTGATGAGATTTTATCACAATTTTCTTAATTTGCGATTGCAGATATCCAAAGAGGCCTGACATTCCAGGAGCGGAATACGGTATCGATAGTGATGGCTTTTTCCATCTTGATGTTTTACCTAAGTGAGTTTTTGAAAAAAACGCTTGTCTGCATTTTCTCATAAAGGCAAAGATACTATATATTCTTTGTTGCATATTGCTATTGTCATAATTCTAAATCATTTTTGTCCCTACAAAAATTGTATTGTAGACGTGCAGTAGTAGTAGGAGGTGGTTATATAGCGATCGAATTATCATCAGTATTGTCGGCATTAGGATCTGATGTTCATTTACTGATACGAAAACCAAGGGTTTTATGGAATTTTGATCACACATTGTCTGAATGCTTAACAGAATCCATTGATAGGGGGCCAACGAAACTTCACAAAAATACGGAAGTAAGTCTATTTGCTGTATCCGATTATATTCTAATTACTCATTAGTCACTATTCTTACTATAAAATTTTTCATCTGATATTTTGACAAAAATAGAACAGTATTTCAGATGGGATATCTGATTTTCTCAGGAGTATTTTAACTCCTGACTAATGGGCTAATATAATATTGTCTTATGGCTATAAAATGAATTAATCATAAATGGGAGAAATGATTTTCTTCAATGTACAAGCTTTTTGTGCGTTATAATAAAATCAAATGAATTAATGTGAGCACTACATTTAAGAGAATCTTTTTTTAGGGCGATAATGATTTCACTCATTAATTATGTATTGTTAATGCAGTCATAATATCTTATGATATGTACCGTTTCAGGTAAAATCAGTGGAAAGGAAGTCTGATGGATTACTCACTGTTAATACAACGAGTGGTATCATTAATGAAGTAGACAGTTTAATCTGGGCAGTTGGTCGCCTTCCTGCAACACGTGATTTAAATCTAGACTATGTGGTTTGCAATTTTATTTCAAATTTAATCTTTCGTTGCAGTTTGTCTCAAAATGAAGTCCCTAGAAATAGGGATATTTTATAGAATGTGAAAACTGATGAAAATGGCAATGTGATTGTTGATGAGTATCAAAACACTTCAACCAGAAATATTTACGCAGTAGGAGATTGCTGTGGAAAAGCACTATTGACACCAGGTTCTTTATTAAACCATTTTTGATTTTAGTGAGTATCGCTTGAAAAATGAAGCATGTGTTTCCGGCTTCATTTCATATTTTATTGTATTGCAATAAGTGTTTCAAAGTTTTCTGTCTTATTGAGAATATAAGAATACGCCATCTTCTCCTAGAACATTACAACTCCTGGTTAGAGAAATTCGAAGGATTATGATTAATTTTAGGAAGACATACTATTTGAAAAATATATGCTTTTATTTCAATAAATTTATACCAGTTAAACATTTTAATAAAGCTTTCAGTTGCGATTGCTGCTGGTCGATGTCTTGCCCACAGATTGTTCAACAATGAAATAAACAATCGTTTGGATTATAAAAATATCCCTAGCGTTGTGTTTAGTCATCCACCACTAGGAACCGTTGGACTTACAGAAGGTGAAAATCTTGTTACCTTTAATTTTTAACCTACAAAGCAAAAAATCGTCACAGTTAAGTTTCTCTACCATTTTTCTGCTCTATTATTTTCATGTTGGACATGTTTTTATTTAGTTTATATACAATTCAGAATTTTTGGTTTTAGCGCAAGCTGTTGATCAGTATGGGAAGAACAATCTTACAATTTATAAAACGAAATTCAACCCCATGTATTATGCTGTTACTCAGCACAAAGAGCCAACAATGATGAAATTAATTTGTGCTGGTGAAAACGAACGGGTAGGTGTAAATGTATCCTTTCGATAGAACTGGCATAATGTCAAATTTTGATGTCCTTTTTTTTTTTTTCAAATATTTACTTTCGAATTTCGAAATGGAACTCTATAGAACTCATGTGAATACTGCTTTTAGGTTGTGGGTTTACATATGCTTGGCGAGGGATGTGATGAAATGCTACAAGGCTTTGCCGTTGCCATCAAGGTAAGTTGTACTTCCAATAATTATCAAAAATAAGTAGTAGAAGCATAATTATCAAATTTCTCTTTCTGATTGTGCAGATGATTTTTATCTGCAAGTTCACTGCTGTAGGGAATTAAATTGAAATTTAAAAGATTCCTATTAAGATGGGAGCGACGAAGAAGGATTTCGATAATACAGTAGCTATTCATCCAACAAGTGCGGAGGAGCTAGTCACAATGCGCAATGGTGTCAAGGTCTGAAACAGCATGAGTATGTATCAATGAACCCGTAAAAAATTTTCCAGATTCATCAAAATCTCACAAATTGTTTATGTTACTGCAAAGTAATTGTTTTCCGTTGTGAATCTTTCTCTTTCAACAATAAAGTTCCTTCTTGATGAATAAGTTGGTGTACATCTTCAGAATTAAATTCTCTAATTTGATCATGAAATTAGTCAAAGGAAATTCAGTTTTTTCCTGTAGAAATAAAAGGATATATGAAGTTAGGCAATCTATTTACTTTGAATTTATTTAAAGACTATAGAGGAAAAGTTTGTAAACTACGCACCTTAAATTACGAGTTTCTCAGCAGTGTTCATGGAAGAATTAGCTAACAGCTAAGAGTCGAGTCATTGATAGATGGATGATGAAACAACGGATCATTTTAGAATATAAAACATATGATTTCTGCGTTAACCTGAGATTACCAATCATATTAATTATTGTTATTAAGATAAGCAAAAACCATGAAGATAGTATGTTATTAAAATAAAATGCAAAAAGATTCCCATTTATTGTCCTCAGAAGTCTTCTAAATCTTTCAACAACTATTTTGGAATCAAAATTATGGTTGAAAAATTGTGATATAGTATAAAATGGTGTACTATAAATAGTATAAAAAATTTTGTACTGTGGTATAGTATGGAAGCGAGAAATATTAGATTTCATACAAGAGTTGGAACTAAAAAGGACATATTGACAGATGATGCTGATCACTAGATCACTAGCACTCCAGCCATGTATTCAGAAATTCCGTAATTGTATCGGTATCCCATTTTTCGATATTCATGGTCTTTTGCACTTCTCCTTGAGCATCTAATAACTTAATTGTCGGTAATGTTCCTCGAACGTGATGAACTTTCACACAAGTTCCCCACTTCTTTACCATATTGGATTTGACAAACGCTGAAATACTTCATATATATTGGCTTTATATCAATATTTCAGTGAATACAATAATATGCTCCACTTTAATGAGATGCCATTGCACCAGATGAGAGCTATCGCGTAAAAAGAAGTTGTTCGGGTAACTCAGTGAAAACGAAGTTGACCAACCTTCCGCCTGGGGAAATCGTCCTAAGTTGCACTCACAAATCTCGATATGAGCTCGTGGATATTTCTAAAAGTAATTTCAAGCTAAATCAACATTGTGATAAGAAACATCACTACATCAATTTATTTTCTTATTATAATAAGAAAAAAGGGTTTTTAGCTTTCAGTTGATTTCCTATCATTATTGTAAAACCAACTAAGTAAAACTTTTATACTTCTTGTTCCATTTCTGCATAATCTTTCCTACAGCATGAATTACAGTCATCAACAAGCTCATCTAGATGAAACTGTGGCAGGTCCGCACAACTTGAGCATTGCAGTGATTCACTGTTGAAACCACGTTCCTGACAGGTTTGATGATCTAATTCACTGTAAACGAGTGGAATCATCACCACTATCTGCTGCAAATACACGCGTAAAATAGAAAGAAAAAGGGCTCATCATTCTTGCAATCTACAGCTGCAGTAATAATTTCGAAAAAATTCTACAGCAAATTTGAGTTATATAATAAAAAGAAAAATAAACAATTTGAATGAAACAAATTACTCTAACACACAAATAATTAATTAACACCATTAGAAACATCAGTTATATCATCCTTTCTCTCATATACTGCGTTGAAGCCTTTCATAAAATTGGCAACTTTCATGCATAACCAGCATTTATAATTTTGACTGCATTTATAGCACTTATAAATATGAGCATTTATAAAAATATGATAAATAAAAGAGCTATGATTAGATAAGAGAATCAATATGAGACAATTAAGGTTGATAAATGTTTATTTTTCATTAATTTTTTTTTTTTTTTTTCAATGGCTAGATAACACAATTTTATTAGAACTGTCATCCATCTTTCGCAACAAATAAATAATTGTGTTCGAAGCAGATGAAAACAGTATGAATATCTACTTAAATATTCTCATAAACAGACTTACCAAGAAAAGCTGTAAATAATTCATGAAATTGCTGGAATGCGTACCTGAACATGTCTTCATGACAGTCCATTCACTGTTTATGTCTGAAAAAAAAAAAATTGCTTTTTTTGCTAAGAAATGATACGATGGATTCATTCTATGGATCAACTTTAACTGTTCAGAGTGAATTTCACAAAACTCAATTATAAAATGAATCATATTCTAATCACCCTGTTCCTCCATCCTATCACCTCAAATTCCACTTCCCATCCTCTCGAAGCACTGATAAATCCCCGAACTTCCACTACGCAAATGCTCCGTCTCACGGGTTTTGAGACTTACGTCACATATGAACAAGATATAGACGTACGTGTACGATTGCTTGTGTACAGGAAATGCAAGTTACATGTTGTTGTTTACTTGTTTACAGTAAATACTCGCTACTGTTCACATCTCTGTGCAATTCTCAGCATTCCTTCCTCCACATGAAGAAAACATTGTGCTATCATTGTTGATGCATCTCTGAGGCAGTATTCTTGTCACACTTAATCTTTTTTTGTTACTAACTTTGTTTAAAATTTTAAAAATAAGTAAAGTAAGTGTTGTCCTACTTCTATGATTATTTGAGATGGATAACATTACTTATGTGCAACTATTACTACTGTCATCATTGGAAATAGTTCAAACAGTATTGATAGTATTAAATTCTCAAATACCATTTTTCGACTTTTTTTGTTTTTTCACAAATGAAAAAGGAAAAAGAAATATGTGAAGATTTAATCTCATTGTCAACGTTTTAGCTCCAACTATCCTACTAATTAACAGATTATTTCAGTTTCATTTTTTGAACTTCTTCCTGCAATAGATGTTAAGTTAGATAAACTCATTGAAATATTTTAAAGTATTTCAAAATCATCTATTGATTGTTAGGAATGAAATACCAAATGATTATTAGATTGTTTTTGATTGCACAATTACATTATTGATGTAAAATTATCTTCCTTATTAATCAAGTTGATTAATTCTTAAACATAAATAGTTGGCTAATATAAGATGGAGTGCTTTTTCAGCTTATCACAAAATGTTGATCATATTTAGTGTTTATCTAACTCATGATAATATAATGAAGAAGGGGAGAAGATAAAAAATGATCTGTTATCAGGATTATCGCATACTCAAGAAAACAAATATAAAACAAATCTATGAGAAAAAAAAAAACAAGAATTAAAAATAAAACCAGAAGCTAATACAATTTTTAATTATATAACAATGAAAAAATAGTTCAGTATTACATAGTTAAATCTCTTATTGTATAGTCAAAATTGTTATACAAGCATCAGTTCCTTATTGTATTAAAAATTATACAAATTAAACTATACAATAAGGAAAACGACAAATAGTTTATTTGATTTTATTTCTATCTCATTTGATGTGATGAAGCAATTCGATAATCGTAGCAGGATAGCTAGACTTTTTAAATAAAATTCAACTATTACTTTCCACTTCTTTTCGAGCATTGCTTTTTAAGCAATTAAATAATTTACTAATATGTGTGTGTGTGTGTGTGTGTGTGTGTGTATGTGTATGTTTGTGTCTGTGTGTGTGTATTTTTGTTTCGAACTACATTCCACAAAGTTCAACTCCACCATATTAAACTTATTTTTATTAAAATACACTCTTCTTCGAAACTGACTTCTCCCTCTCCCTCTCCCTCTCTCTCGCTCTCAAAGCTAATATTCTTCGTAAGTATCAATTGCTAGCTGTTCAATTTTTTATTCTAAAATATCATAGAGAGTAATTTTATGTTTAATTTGCTGTATTCCTTATGAAATATGAAAAGTTGCAAAATGTAATGTATTGATGATTTTTTTTTTTTGTAACTTTAGACAACTAAAATGACAAAAAGTTTAAATGTTGAAACAAACAAGCTTAAGTGATAGGATAAAAAAAGTGTCATTGTCATTATTAATACAAATAAAAGCTATCCATCATATCATACAAATTCATAAATTGAATGAGATATTTTGTGAATTCTTTCTGCTGTCATCATTTATTCTCATTTTTTATTACTTTTTCAAAAAAAAAAAAATGAAACAATGAAAGAATTATCACAAATGGAAAAATGAGGGAAGGAAAGAGGAATAAAAAGCCATTTGAAAAGTGTTATTATATTATATCTTTTATATCATCTACATAATCTACGATTAATTAGAATCGTTTTTGAATTTATATTAAATTAGATACGAAAATAATTCTTAATTTTACAAATGAATTATTATTCATAAAAAAGAGCTATTCATAGTTGAATTACTGAATACATCAAATTCTAAGTTTTTCTTTTCATTTCTTTTTTCTTACATAAAATTATCAAACTAGATTAATGAAAAGATTTGAAATATTTCATTTTTCTTTTTATATTTCTCAAAAATTACTACATTTCTAATCAATTCACACAAAGGTTTTTTGTTTGTTTGTTTGCTTTTTTTTTTTTTTTTTTTCACGAAAGGAAATTTTCGCAAAAATTTTGTTTTAAACTCAAATATCACATTCTTACTATAAATATTTTAACAAAAATCTATACGTAACTGCAAAATTTCGCATTGTTTTATATATATATATATATATATATATATATATATATATATATATATATATATATATATATATATATATATATTTTTACACACACTCACATACATATACAACATACACGTGTGTATGTTGTATATGTATGTGATGTATGTATGTATGTATATATATATATGTGTTCATGTATGATATGTATTCGTGTATGTGTATGTAGGTGTATGTGTATGTGTACTCATTAATATTAATCCATGCAGAGGAGGTTGACATTGTTGTTGGCACTAATTTTGCTGCCCACTTTTAGGGCTGTCATTCCTTCTGTCGATCAAATCAAGCGCTCCTGTTCACATTATTGTTGTGCGTAATTGAAAATTAAAAGAAAAATATTTATTTATTCTTATTTATCAAATAATTCAAATATTTCAAATAATTTTTAATATATTTCTTTAATTTCTTCCTATTAATTTTTTTCATTTATAATATTTAAAAAAATATTGATTAATATTCAATTTCTAATCTAAATTATGGAAAAAAAAATTTTATTAATATATATATATATATATATATTTTTTTTTTAAATTGATTGAAAATATATTTGAAGCGTATAAAAATTAAAAGCAAATTAAAATGATAATATAAATGCTATAAAAAGTTTGTAAATGTATCAACTACATAATTCATCAGCATTCCTAATTTAACTTTTTTAAAATGCATTTTAATCTTTTCTAAAATATTATAAAATTGTTATAATATTATAAAACTATTCATACAATCACATTTTTTGCATTCTTTTTCAATTGAAAATATACTCGTTTCTTTGATGTAAAAAAAAGACAATATTTATTGAAATTGAAGTGAATAAGTGTAATTGTTTTTCTCATCTCTATGATATATCACTTTGTTTGCAAAAAAAAAAAAAAGAACGACGAATTCCTTTTGCAAACTCAAATTTTATTTTTTAGTGTTTTTGTGATAAAAAGAATGGAAACGAATCAAAATATCAGTGAGTTGTGTTTTTTTTTTTTTTTTTTTTCTCTTTTTTTTGTTGAAAAGAGACAATAAAATATTAGTAATAAGTTAGTTAGACATTTTCAATCTGATAAGTTGAATAAAGATTAATTTAAAAAAATTAAAAATGATAAATATTGCAGGAGTGCTTGTTACCGGAGCATCAGGTTTTATTGGAATACATTGTGTTCATCAACTTTTAAAGGAAAATTATACTGTACGTGGTACCGTACGTGACCTTAATAATCATTTTAAAATTGATCCACTGAAACAGCTCGAAGGAGCAGCTGAACGTTTGGAATTGGTTGAAGCAGATTTGGAAAATGATCAAGGATGGTCTCAGTTCGTTCTGTTATTTATTTTATCATCTTTATTACTTAATTAATTAACCTGTTATCAATTCCTTTCTCTCTCTCTCTTTCTTTTTCCCTTTCTACAAAGAGAGAGAGAGAACTAAAAATTCTAAAATTTCTTCCTGTCCTATTTCATTGAAGAATGTTTAATCATTCGTTTCAAGTTCATTTCATTTTTTTTTTTTTTTTTTCCATTCATTTTCACTGTTTTTTAATCTTTTCAGAGCAACAGCTAATTGCACCTATGTTTTGCATGTTGCGAGTCCTTTTCCAATTGTCACGGATGAATCAGTCATTTCAACTGCAGTAGATGGTACTCTTCGAGTATTACAAGCTGCTGCATCAAATTCATCTGTAAAAAAAGTTGTTGTTACTAGTTCTTGCGCTGCTATTAATGGTAAAATTTTTGAAAATTAATTTCTCGAAAAAAAAAAAAAGTAGCACAAAATAACAAGAATAATTTTGATTATTTGAATAATTAGATAATGTCATTAGTCCATTCGAATTTTATTTCATATGAAATGGCGAAAGGAAAATACAAATTAGCAATTAAGTCATTGTGCATACATCGATCGATCTTAATTGATTCAAACATTATAAACAACAATAAAATAAAAATGTTTAAGAGTTGTTTTCTTTTTTTTTTTTTCTCTCTCTCTCTCTCTCTTCACAAATTAACGACAAGAAATGAAAATCACTCCGTAATGAGGAAAAAACTTAAACAAATGCACTGAGATTATTTGACATTGTAGAAGGTCACGCAGATATGACGCGAACATTCAACGAAAATGATTGGAGTAATATCGATTCGACAAATGTAAATAATTATGTGAAAAGTAAAACACTTGCAGAAAAAGCTGCATGGGATTTTGTTCATAAGGAAGGTTACTTTTTACTAGAGATTAATTTTACTACATCTGAATTGTCCTCTCTGATAACTCATTTACAATTTGTACTTAAAAAATCTTTTTTATTATGTTAAATAAAACTGTGAAACAAATGAATTCGAATCATTGATGAAATAAAATGATTTTTAAATTTTTTTAATTTTTTTTTTTTTTTTTTAAACTCGAAATTATCCAATTACTTTTCAACTTTCAGACATTAAGTTCAAGCTAACTGTAATCAATCCGGCACTTGTTGTTGGACCTCTCCTTCATAATGTACAAGGAACGAGTATCAGTGTAAACTTATCCTTACTAAAAAGTTATAAAACAACTGAAAAAAAACTTTTAACTTTAGTTTTTCTCTTTTCTAGCAAAACAATGTTATTAAATTATATTTGATCATTTGTGATATCGATGTTATTCCACTAAAATTGATTAGTATAAATTCAATAATTTTTTTTTTCTTTTTAGATAATACGTCGTTTTTTGAACAATGAAATTCCCGCAGTACCAGCAGTTCAATTTGGTTTAGTAGACGTACGTGATATAGCACAAGCACATATTCGTGCTATGCGAGAACCACGTAGTGATGGATTACGAATTTTATTAAGTTATCAACCAAGTTTCTGGTTTCTGGATATTGCCAATGTTCTACGTGATGAATTCTCATCGCAAGGTTTAAATAAATTTATTTTCCATTGATATTTCACCTATCACTTATGATTGTCTCAATAAATTGATCATCTCATTAATTTCAGGTTACAGTATCCCAAGAATTACAGTGCCATACCCGATAGCATGGCTTTATTCATTGTTCAGCAAGGAAACAAAGCAGCAAATACTAAGTCGTTTTGGCAATGAAGTACACTTCGATAATTCTCTCGTAAATTATCATAATCTTATCAATTATCTTTTTTTCTAGCTCTCAATAATAATAATAATAATTGATGATCTTATTGATTTCAGGTTACAGCATCCCGAGGTTATAATATCTCAATAATAGCATAAAAATTGACAGTTTGCTAATTTGACTAAACTAACTTATTTCAGGCAAAAGATATTCTTGGAATAGAATTTATAGATCCTAAAGAATCGATCATTGCTATGGCATATGATATTATCGAACGCAATATGGCACCAAAACAAAAAAATTACAAAGGACCACCTGCTAAAACTTCTTAAAAGGTATGAAATGATAAATACATCTTTAATTGCACAAAAAAAAAAATTTTTTTCTTCTTAATTCAATTTATGCAAATTTCTTCATTGCTTCTACTAACTATAACTACTTAAATATGCTAATTCCATTAAAACTACTCCCTTGTAAATGATTGCTTTGTCTAGGAAAGAATTGGTGAAGTTAATCAGTCCTTCTGCGATATTTCCAAGTTATAAAGTTACAAACTGATATGCAATTTATTATAAATTATCAAATTTTCCTGAATGTAATTCAAAATAAATTCATTATCGTATATTCTTCAAGTGGGATTTTCGGAAATTAGGAAAGAAAGATTAGCAACCATAGAGTGAAAGGTGTTTAAAAAAAAATTTTTTTTTGGAATGGCACAACTAACCATATAGAACTTTGTTGAACAAAAAACGAAATCAAAAATTTAACACAGAAAATTTTGATATAAATTCCAACATTCCAATTTAGGCAATGTTAGATTTTTCATTTCTCAATATTAGAAAACAGAAATAATGACGAAATGTATCTTCAATTCAAATATTTAAAAATAAAAAAGAATTTTAGAACTTAATTGGATCACTGAAAATTATTCTATATTTCATTGTAAGTGCTATGTATCGAATAATGAAATAAATTTTATCAAATAAATCTCTTGCTTACATGTTACTTTAACTCTTCCAAACAATCAATAATTATTGTTGTGCAAAAAAAAAAAAAAAAAGTTTTCCTTCTAAATTTCACTGTAGTAGAACAAAATTAATCTAAAAGTTATATTTTTGTCATCTATTCCTGAAATAATGCATAGAAAATAGTCCAATAAATTTTTTGATGCTTTTTAAGTTTAACATCGATTGCTATTCACAACCTTTCATTGATTATTCATTTCTTTGTGCTCTATTTTCACATGTAATAATATTACTTTTTTCAGGTGTTTTATATTCTGTTTTCGGGTTTCCGAATCTGTGGGATATATTAAAACTAAGAATTTTAAAATCTACTATATATATATATATGTAAAACAAAAATGTTCCCTACTATTTTCATGTTCCGATTTCTGAAGACTTTCAAATAAGAAATTTTTTAAACAGAAAAAATTCAAACATTACGACCAACAACTCAAATTAGTCTTTGCATCATTGAAATGCTTTTGTCTATCTCTTATCAAATTCCATTGTTAAAATATTACTAGTGGTTTTCCCCTGTATTTTTCATATAACGACACCAATTAATTTCAAGATAATACGACGACAATGCACTGAACATTGTAAGCACCTTATTAAGTCTAAGAAATGTTCAAAGTTTAAGCATTAAGAATTAAATCATTAATCAATTTCGTATTTTGCAAGAATTCCGAGTGGTAAAAAGAAGTCCACCATTTTCAGAGACTTCCCGGGATTAATCTAACTGAAAACAATCAGATTCCTGCATTTCAGCCCGACAAGCTTAAAGATTATAACTTATATTTTTGATGTTTAGCAACTGAAAACCGTTCGACTTTTTCGACACGTCATCAGTTTCATTTCTGATAGTTTATTATCGTTCATGGATGAAAAACACCTCAAAATAAGGATACAAATGAAAGGAAAAACTGCAACCAACAAGGAGCATGAATAGAGGATACAAATCATTTCAAACAATTACATATAAATTGGAAAAAACATTTTAACACGGTTTTGGGGGGGGGAGGGAAAAAAACAAACGAGTGAAGAGCAGGAAAAAGTCAAACATAATGAAAAAACGCAGGGAAAAGAACGTCGTTAGAACATAAAAGGTATGCAGTGGATAAATTAATTAAAAGACAACACCTAACAATATGCAAAAAATGTAACTTCCAAAAAACTCAAAGAATATAAAAAATACAGAATAACTAGCAGAAAAGTAAAAAAGAAACATAGTCAAAAAGTTCAACATTTAAGGAGGCTATCATGAAGAAAAATATTTATGCAAATGATATAGCATAAATGATCAGTCAGCTCCCTGTGAAATTGCGTAAAACCTGAAGGGAAAGAGGGAAAGAAAAGGGAAAGGGATTTACGGTGCTATGAGAAAAAAGAATAATTTAAGGTGAGAATGAAAGAGAAAGAGAGGGAAAGAAAAAAAAAAAGAAGGATTTGCAATTAGAGATAAGTACCAGGAAAAAAAAATGATGTTACTAAATTGAACAAAGTCCTGATTTCTTCGAGAAGTGAACAACACAGTGTCGAACATATGAAATTAACAAAATAAGCCAACCAACAGAAAACACAAATGAAAATGAATAACCAGACACATAACACATATTATGTCCCATCATACATAGGCGTTCGCATTTTTCAAGAAAAAAAAGAAATTCTTGCACTATTAAAATGGTAATCAATAAATGATTAAAGAGAAATTTATAAAAAAAAAAAAAAAAAAAAAAAAAAAAAAAGCATAGAGGGGGGGAAAACAAGAGCAAATAACAGCAACACCCGTATAGCTTTGAAAAGTGGATTTTTGATCATAATTACGACATCGTCATACATCAATCAATAGAATGTTGTATGCCATATAATGCACACACATATATATATATATAATTTTACCAGAACAGATCAATCATCAGAAAGAAAAAACTCTTTTTCATATTCTCTTCTTTCACTAGTGATAATCTTCATGTATAGTACTTGTGAAGATGTCTCAAAGAGAGAGAGAGAAAAAAAAAGAACCGACAAATAAAAAGTCAGCAAAACAAAATAAGCCCAAAATCATGATTCCCTATCAATAAAATAATTATTATCATCTTCATTATCATCTGCAACAGTCATCAATTGTAACAAACGATCAAAACAGTGAAGCAAAATGAACGCATGTATGAGGATGACCAGAAGGTAACAGCAATTAACAACGTAGTGTCAAAACAATCATTTGAATAATCAACATACCGGTGATAACATTATTATCGTCATAAATCCAACAAGACATCTATACGGGCAGTGAGAGTGCTATTAAAATCATTACTGCAAAAATTAAAAAATAACTCAACTATCATCAAATTATAACAATATATTGGAAATGCATTAGTAGAACACAAGCAATTTTAACTTCGTAAAACAAAAAATTATTATGTAAAATCCACCAAATAATCTAAAAGAAAAAACAACGGGGAGGCGAAAAAATAAAAAACAATTTGAACAACGCATTTTGCGAGAATTATTGGATACAAAGCAGTATAGCAATAGCATTTTTTTTCAAGAAAAAAAAAGCACAGGGAGATCTCCTGAATATTCAAAACATATTTCTTCAGCCACAATAATAATAATAATAAAAAAAAAAAAAAACGAACCACCAACTGATGAAAAGGGTAACCATGTGTCTACGAATAACCAAAAGAAACAAGGCAGAAGTGGCCTAAATTCTATTACGAACTAAAATTGAATATTGTGTAAGTAATCCATCCAAAACAGCTATTCTTATATAGCAAAAACTAGTTGTGGAACATAAAAGAGCTCAAACTTCTGTCTGTTAATTATGAATAGTACATGCCACTTATTTATAGTTCCCCCTCATGAAAAGAACTACAAAGCGAACACATTAAAATTATATGTTATCCAACAGCAAACACTGTGTTGTACTTCTCGAAGAATTGACGACCTGTTCCGATTTAAAAGTGTCAAACAAGAGGAATTTAAGGAAAAGAAAGAAGAATAAGAAATAATAAAGTAATAAAACATGTCAACTTTCAACTTTCATCATTACTGCCTTAATATTGTTGCTGGAATTGATAACCTCCCTGAGGCTGTGCTTGCGGTGTTCCGTAACTGAACTGATTTTGTGCTGTAATTGGCTGAGCACCATAAGCGCCATATCCCTAAAAACAAGGTAGTTTAATTATAATATGACATATAGTTGATAAAAATTTCCATTTTTATTCCACTTATAATGTTTCCAAAGAATTTTCCTATAAAAAAGTGACAATCTATATTTCTTTCATGAATCACGGAAAAAATTATTATTTTGAAAACTTACCGGTTGTTGAGGTCTTGCTTGTGCAGCTGGTTGTTGTGCAGCAGCAGCAGCAGCAGCGGCAGCAGCAGCATTTTGCTTCAACTGATTTTCGATAACGGCTGCCTGTTCATGCATACCCATGCTACGATAATACTCTGCCCACTGTGCACTATAATCAGGTTGACCTGAAAAATAATGGATGTAATGAAATGCACATCTTAAAATCTTCAAATACTTTGAACAGACTTCAGCGAAATAACGAAAAATATCCTTAGTATTCTCCTTCATAATTTTCATAAAAATTTTGAAATTTATGAACGAAATTAACAATAAGTGTATTAGATAGCATAAGTCAAATGCGTTGTCACAAAGATGTTTGCTAAAATTATTACAATTAGGAGACACTTCCATATCTATCCAATCATTCTCCCATAAAAAACCCAGAAATTCCTTTTCTTTTTATCGCATACTGCATACCTGTTTGCGGATTTACTGCTGGAGCTGCACTTGTCTGCGCTGGTTGTGGTTGCGGTTGTGCTGGTTGCTGATACTGGGTAGCATACGCCCCCTGCTGATAACCAGGCTGCTGTTGTCCTTGTTGTCCATAATATTGCTGATTCCAAGCAGCTTGTCCGGGATCACTTTGCTGATGACCTAAAACCGCAGCATCATTGTTATACAATTATTGTATTACGTGCACCCTTTTTATCCAGTAACAAAATCCCTTCATGTTCAAACACAGCATTTACCAAAAGTAGTGTTCCATTGCGCTCCTGCTTGTCCACCAATACCAGCGCCAGCAAATTGTGCGTTACCATTACCATATCCTTGAGGAGCACTTGGTACAGTGTTATGTCCAACTCCAAATGCATCACCACCCGCCCCTGGACCACCCTGTCCATGAAACTGTGGTACTGGCGTTCCTGGAGCAATATCACCAACCTAAAAAAACTTTTTTTTTTTAGAGCAATTTCCCGTTAACTATGACTATACAGCAAGACCCAGGCAGACATCAAATGACCCAGTG